ACTACATTGAGTAATATGTACATGGATTTTCCAACCAATCAGATTGTAATATTTAATTCAAAGAGCAATTATTGGTCATTTCCTTGAAACATTCATGTGTACTTAGTGTGGTAATCAACCTAGTTCAACTGTTATGCACTCTTAATATTTTTTGTAATATCATTAAAATCTTTAACAATCATTCATAGAGAAAATACAAAGTTTTGATTTTGTTTGAATATTTGCATATTAAAGGAACATGACAATGAAGTTGATATATCTCAAGCCATTGGGACCTGTAGAGTTTTGTCTTCGGGAAGTTCTGTAAACAGTGAGTTACATAACAAAGGTATCTCAACTATGAGTAAATTTTTATATCAATATTTTGTTAATTTCACTTTTCATTTCTACATATAAGTCTCTTTATTTTCTTTCAAAGTGTGTATTTTTAAAGATATACTCCCATATTTTTAGTAATTTGACTGCTTTCACAGCTATACAATTGATTATATGACATGTTTGAGAAAGGACTTAATGATATATCTTCTTGATGTTTACCGTAATTAATATTCATTTCTAAAAAAATTTGCCAAATAAAGGAAGTACTGAAGGTACAATTCTTGATATAGATAATTTTGCCAAGATCCAAAAGCTGTTACAAGTTGGAACTGATGCGGTAAGAATCTGCTTTGATAAATTCTTCCCAAGTAAGGAATTAGAGAAGACTCTGAAAGATAATGAAACAGACATGAGAAGAGGACAGTTCCGATTCCTCCCTCCTCAACTGGAGATTCTCTTCCCTCCTCAAGGTACTTCATAAGTGGCTTTCTTCCTTTCGATGATAAATGTTATGCTCCTAAAAAATCTTTTTGTTTTGTTCAATTGAAAATTTATATGTTTGTGGCAAACACTCGTTTGAAATATTCTTGTTTTTATTTAAATATAAGAAAATCGTCAATTTCAAACAATGTTTAAGCTATTAATACCCTCCGCTTGTATACTGGAGGTGTATATAGTGATCGGGATGTCCATAAGTCTGATCTTCCGTCTGTCTGTCATGTCATCTGTTGGGCATTTGGGTACCCATCTCTTCTCCCAAGTTCTCATATACCTCAGAAAAAAATTTGATGAGACTTTCAAAGAAACTTTGTTTCATAGCGCTATTCCTATATTACTTTTCATCAAACACATTTTTTTGAGTTTCCCATGTAAAACATTGACTCTGTCATTCATTTTATCACATTGAAGAGTACGCATCTTTTATCTGCAACTCCTTCTATACCACTGAATAAAATTTTATGTTTCTTTCACAGATTCTTTAATACATAATGCCATTGTTCACCTTCTTTTTTACAATTTGATCTGACACTTATTTCGGGTCTATCAGTGGAAAACATAAAAATTGATATTATAATTATATGGGAGGTGGGGGTATTATTTAGTGAGTCCAGTACTTATAATTCCTGCAATTTGTCCCTTCATTTATGAAACTGAAAGACAAGCATCATCGAAAGACAATAGTGTTTGTTTAGGGTCTAAGTGTATGTATCATTCTGACTGTGTATCTGAATAAGTCTGTGTAGAAAAAAAAATCATTCTATATAAAATTGTTGCAGAATGTTAAGCTTTGATAATGTTCAACTATATATTTGAAGGTGAATCCAACACATGTGTATCATCTTTATCTATGGACGTTTCCATCATGTATAAACTGTTGAGGAATTTCTCTGACATTACGCCTCCTGGGAATGGATGGGGAAAAGAACCGAAAATAGTTGACATTGCAGAAAGTGATGACATAGAAAGAATCCGTTTATACAGAAATAAATACAGTCATGATCCAGGAAGTAGCCCTGTGATAATTGATGAAGTCTTCAATATCATCTGGGCTGATCTTTCTAAGGTAAGTTAAAGCAATATAAGTTTAGGGTTATTTTGCTTTCCAATTTAAGGATAAATAACACAAACTTTTCCCCTAGAAAGTGAATTATCTTTCTAAAGCCCTTCTCACTAAAGAAGAAATATTCGACCATCTAACAATTTTATGATTGAACAATTCTTTAAAATTTGGGGGAAAGTTGGGAAATGTATGTTTCTAGTTCAGTATTCTTTTTTGAAGAGTTGCTATTTGTTTTCTGCCATCTTTATGAACAACTTGTATTGATAGAGGTATGCAGATCATTATCCTGGGTCAAATATGTTATGGAAGACAAACATTTTTTCTTATTGTCTTTGAAATGTAATCAATATCCATAAAAAAATTATTAAAAAAATGATGTTAAAAGTTTACAAACAATCCTAAAATATGTTAATATTTTTGATGGAGTCTTAACAGTGGTATTCCTTTCGAAAAAAAGGAATTAGGTACCATTTCGGCACTAATAAAACGAGAACAAGGTCAGGAAAGAGCTTTCTCCTCTATAGCTAATGTCTGCATGAACACAGTCCGAACAAATATTATAAATTTCGTCAATTTTGAATATATTAAACCTTGCTGCTTCGAATGAAAGAAAGAATGCTTTCTTTCCTTCAAACACCTTTCTTAAACGCTTATAATTTGACTTGCTAGTAAATTTACCAGACTTCGATCCGTGCACATGGTACATGTTTACAATAACTACAATTTGCGGTTTAATAAAATTAGAATTAAACACTGCTAATTCTGGTAAAAAATGTAGTGTAACTCTTTTATGCGGAAGATAAGAAAATGTGTTTGTGGTATGTATCCTGAAATGAGACAATTTGCAATAGTGGTTGTTAATGATTTCACAAACTGTAAATCTTCAGCTTATTTTTCTGGAACATTCATTTTTGTTGAGGACGTAGGTAAAACAATCGAGGGCCAACCTCATGTTTAAAATTAAATATTTTTTGAGAAAATTTTCTTCATGAATAGAAACATAAGGACAAATTCACGCGGCCAAAAAATTATTTCTGTTCTAAACATTCATATCTGTATTTCTGTACTTCACTACTGTACACGTCATGTCTTTCTTCAATAAATTGTTCCACAATAAGCGAAAACTGTTATCAACTAGGTTATTCAACGTGTATATTTATTTTGATAAGTTCAAGTAATCTCTATATTATATTCTTTATGAAAAAAATCTGTTATATTAACTATGATTGAAATGTTTCTTTAATTTCTTTTTAGGCCATATTAAGACTTGGTGGTGATGTTCTGAAGAGAAGGATAAGTGAAATCTAACTGAGTAGATGTGGCACTTTTAAAAATAATAACCGTGATTACAAAGAATCTGTCTGTGGGACAAAATAAAAGAAGGTGTGTCTTTATATATATTTTAAGTAACATGTATTGTCAAATCTATGCAATTTATTATTGCAGCGATTCATTTTACGTATAAATTAACACTGTGTAAAAGACACACTGTATGCATCTGTATTTATTATCAAATTTTTGAAATACTTGCTTGAGAAAACATTGGTTTATTTAGTCTGGTTTTTTTGTGTTAAACTCAGTGATTTCAGGTTTTCAAGAGTTTTTGTTAATTTTTATCGATACACATTTACTTGACTTATTATTTTATTATTTTTGGGAGAATGAGTTTCAAAGAGCGATTCAAATATTTGAATTTGTTTTTTTTTTATTTTAAACTTTTTTTCTGAGATATTTTGTTTATGTAAATTTATATCAACGCAATGAATACTAGTAATTGTACATCTAGAATATAACAGTCTTATTTCTCATTGTTCATATTTCTTATTTTTGAAAAACTCAATTTATTAGAGATTAGATTTTGTCTTTTCTAAGGATAAACATTTCTTACATGTTTCTGTAAATGAAATTAAAAAAAAGTATCAAATTATCACCTGAACAAAAAGATAACAGAAATATAAAATATTTTCCCTTAAATTCAAGTAAATCTGAAATACAGTTTGTATTCAAGAGCAAAGTTGCTGGCATTTATGATATGTTTATTGATTAAAATATCCTGAGATAATTACTGTGCCAAAAATCCCATGCTTTCTTTACGAAAAAAAAAAGAAAAAAAAATATCGGTAGAGTTTGGAAATATGAAGCGTAGAAAATGCCTGTAGAATGACTATAAGAAATTGTATTTATTGTTTGTATAATTTTAGCAATACATTCATTAGAAGAGTAGTAGATAAACTTTCATAATTGTGCGGTGAATTGCATGCATGTAGATAAGTATTTTGGTTCGTTATCACCTATGTACACATGTACATCGGTTTTCAGAACATGTATACTGAGCGCCATTGCATTCTTAATGTCAATAAGAAAGTATTTTGATTGTATATTAAGTACTTAAGGTATGTCACTCGTGAACTTTGTTAAATCAAGGATTTATTGAGAAGTATATTTTGGATAAGTACTCATAAAGAGTGACTCAAAATCGACGGGAAATTAGGGTGTCAGTGTTTATCTTCCTAATCTACGGTAAAATGAAGTTGACCTTTTTGCACTAAAATTTTAACTCTTTGGTTAATTAGTTAAACCTTTATAATATTTTATCAGATGTAACCATGACAAAAAGTATGATCTTATTTTACTATCATATACTATGCAATAAAACATTTTCTTAAATCAAGCTTTTTACGACTTAAGTGCTGATCAGTCACAAGTATCGAGTACTTTAAAATAATTAAAGAAAAAGGTGGGTCAGTGATGTTACTTTTGAAATATTGGTCAAATATGTGATCATCAAGCAAAAAATGGTGTAAATTTTATATTGACTTATTTGACATGTCTTCATTTTTTGGCAAAGTTTGCTGAAGGAAGGTATAAAACTTGTTCTAAAAAAATAAATGAAGACCTGTATTAAATATTCCTAGCAATTTCATAATGGAAAATATTCTCTGAGTAAAAGTGTGTGAGGCTAAAGTTCCAAGATATTAGATTTAATAATTGTGCAGATTTGCAGAATTATCTGCTAAATATCTTTCCACCACAAAAAATAGACCCTCACAAATCTTGCTTCTTTGTAGCTTTTTCAGCAGTTTTTTCATTGAATGTTAAAACATCAACATTGTTAAAATTTAATATTTTATGAAAATTGATTTTAATCAATAGTTTTGAAGTAAGAGGTTCTGCGTGAAATTTTCCAAAAAAGCTGACGAGTGACCTACCATAAGTACACTGTATTATCTATTCCATTTATAACTGCAGTATATAAATTATATATAGTACATTAATTGCTCTTACTTTGAGGTAAGCAAATTCCTTTTAGTAATTGAGTATATTAATATTATTTAATACTTATTGAGTATATTAATATTATTTAATACTTATCATAATAACTGAAGTAAATTGATGATGTGTAATGATTGTACTTGATGAAGGGCAAAAGATTCAAATGCTTTGGTAGATTATAAAATCATTGATGATTGTAGTTTTATACGTTGTAGCTCAACTAAAACTGTTAGTGTATTAAAGGATAGCTACAACATCATCATGTTGACTGAATAATTTTTTTAAAAATGTTATAATTAATAAATGAAACAAACTAGTTTAGCTAACTCATGACGTAATTATAGCTTTTAACCAAAAAATAAAACGAAACGAGTTTCATATAAGAAATATATGGGAAAAAAATTTAAAAAGTATACACATTATCACATGCAATTCATAGGGTACTGAGTTTTAAAAAAAGTATGCTGATGTATTTTCAGAATTTGTTTTTAAAATGCTTAAAATGAAGACTACCTGGCTTATATCACCGGTTGTAACATGATAAACGAGTCTTACATTTAAACGAGCATTGCATCACGACGTCATCAAGGGTCAATTATAAATAGAAAAGTATGCCTTAATAAAAAATAAAATGTTCCCCCCTTTCCCTTGGGACAATTTTAAAAAAATATATTTAAAACTTCTCTGGGCAATAAAGAGTTCATCTAGACTATACTCTTGTGTCACAGACATAAATAGTCCATACTCCAGCAGGTCCATTACAAAGTAACTTTAAGCCAAAGTTGGACCAAACTTCAATAGATGAAACATCTAGAGATGGACAATACCAGACTTCCTTCGGATGCTGACTTATGTTTCCAGACGAGTTGCCAGTTCAACGTTTTTTACATGTAGCAGTTCAATTTCAAAATAATTATAAGGTGTACCTGCACCTGAAGCAAAATTGCATGAATGATGCGTCTAGGGATGGACATAGACTTGATTCTGATGCTGGATCTGATCTACAGTTTGCAGATGAGTGAAAAATGAAAGACATATTAATAATATTTTACTTAAATAATTACAGAAAAAATAAATCCGTTAATTGTGTACTCTATCTTGTCAAACATTGCATATATAAAAGAAATTTCAAGCTTTATGACTCCTCTTCCAATGCTTCTAGAATTATAAAATAACTATGTAATTTTTTATCTTCATTTGTCATAGTTAGATTCATCTAATGGTGTCTCTGGACAGGCCATCACTGAGTCGATAGGATATTAATAGTAGAACAATTTATCCACAATTGTCATTATATGTTACAGGTTGCAGAAGGTACTGAAAAAGACAGTGGTTTGACTGAAAGTGTTATCCATCTACCAGTATCTGATAATGATGAAGATCCCAAAGTCGTAAAGAGTGTGACAATTTCCAAGTTGTTGTTAATGATAAAACTCATTTTAAAACTGGTATAGGATGAAGTTTAGACTGTACTTTTCTTTACTTCTTCCCCCGTGGAAATCCGGGTTAGAATAGGTCCTCAGTACCCCCTTGCTTGTCGTGCAAGGCGACTAAATGGGGTGGTCCTTTGGATGAGACCGTATAAACCGAGGCCCCGTGTCACAGCAGGAGTGGCACGAGAAAGATCCCTCCCTGCTCAAAGGCCCTAAGTGCCGAGCATAGGCCTAAATTTGCAGCCCTTCACGGCAATGATGACGTCTCCATATCAGTGAAATATTCTGGAGAGGGACGTTAAACAGTATACAATCAATCAATCTTTACTTCTTTTTTTCTAAAGCTTACTACATGTAGTTTAGACTCAAGTTCACAAAAGCTCACATACTGTGGCTGATCAAGGGACCATTGTGCTAGTTTAATTTCTAAAAAACTAAATTGAATTGTCAAATTTTATTGTAAATATAAAACATTTGCTTATAAGGACTATTCCCCTTACATTACATACCAACATTGAAAATGCACGATGATAGGTAACTGTATAAATATACTATATATTTATGATACAAGCCACTGAATGATAGCGACAAAAATTATAAACATACAAAATGAAACTGTTTTAAAATAATAAAAAAAAAACTTGAAGGCTACCAGAAAAATAGTCTCAGAAAATGGTTAAAATAAAAAAAAATTCAGGAAGAATGCACAAAGGCATATTAAATCTTTGTTAATATACAAGTAAGTATCCACTGTTTTCCTTGAAGATTTTCAGTTTCATCTTATGTTTTCCTGGCACTCAAGCTTTTATGGCACGAGATTAATATTTTGTACATGTATGTCGGATAATTTTCCTTCCCGCTTTGTACAACTACTTAAATTTTCACGAAAGTTTTGTTTAAATCATAGATATATTTGCTTGACTCCATGCATTACACCATGTGTGAAGTATTAGATGTGAAAATTAATGTAAAATATCGCGAGTCAAGTGACGAGACCTATAGACCCTTTCATGGTATGGGAATGAAATGAATCATTGTTTGTATTTTTGTCAGTCAGTTGTTGCTATGTTTAAGCCATCATGTTACCATGCATCGCAAAGGATTATTGGGAGTTTTGAATTTCTTTTTTACATATATATATTGATAAACGTTTCTTTGAGCAGCTTACTTCTCAATGGCACCTGATCCCGCGTGGTCCGTGTTTGCTCTGCACCTATTTTGTATTGTTTTAGGACTTTTGAGCTTGAATATACTGTTCGTTATCTCGATAAATTTCACGGAGTTTACATATAATAAAGTGACATGTTTAGTATGTTCATAAAAATTTAAGACTCAGAAGGGGGTATCCCTTATTTTATTAGTTCCTATTCTTCACAAAAGAACAAAATTATTTTTAAAAAATACCTCATTAATTTCATATGATCTACCGTTAAACAAGAATTCAATGTCTTATCTCATTTGAATGTTTTTTTTTTTTGCCAAATTCATCTATCGTCATCAATGATTGTTAAGCAGGATAGGAAAAAAATTGTACAATGTGTATCGGCCGTTGAAAGTAGCCGCAAATTCTGTCATCAAATGACGTCTTGTTTTACATATACCTGTAAATCAACCCCTTCTCAAAATGTTTTTTCAATGTTACGAGAATGTTTATATATACATGTACTTTTGTGTTTTCTTTAGAAATCAAATTTAAATTTCCTCTTATGGAATCACACATAATGAACAATTGTGGTAGAGTATGATTTCAAAGTGTCATTAATTGTTATTTAATTGTTATACGGTGTAGTCATTAAAGGGAATGTTTTAAAAGTACATACTTTTAACTGTCATTATATGAATGCTACAATTCTGAAGAAACTTTTTTCATTCAGGAGGTAATGCACTTGCATCTAGTTTTAATCCACTAATTCCACTAACTCCACAAACGCATATTCAAAACAAATTTAAAGGTATTGCTGGTAGGTTTTTCTTCTATACAGAAACAACACTTTATCCTGCTTTATTTAGTCTTGATGCATAATATGTTTTTGAATGTTGTTTTATGTCCCCTCGAAAAGCTTTACTCATATGGACACGCCACCACTTGCCAGTGCAGAGCTGTTAATTTTGTCCTATAATCGGCTCTCATGGCTATTTTTCATTGAGGGATCTTTTTCGTACCAGCACCTACTAAGAGACGGACATCGATTTACAAGGTCTCATCTGAAGAACCGGTCTCCACGTCCAACAGTGCATGAGATCTATACGGACGACATAAGGATCTAAATCTTTATTTAGCGATTCTACAACAGACGCTCTAACCACTGTGCCACGCGGGCGACGATGCATAATATACGTATATGTACGATATTATTTCGTATACTCGCGATCGTATATGTGTTAAGTCATTAAAACACCCGTATGATATTTATGTAAATATTTTTAAAAGCGAATAAAGTGTCTGTAAATTATATAATTAATTTTTTTTTCCTTCAGAACTGTATGCCATTTTGTAAAAAGATATGATACTGATAAGCAAATCATTTTATGATCATATATCGGTGGCAGACTCCAATTTTCACTCCCTAGATACAGTAATATCCCTGTCATCAAATATATTGTATAGGTAAGCATGTAAATTAGACAGAAAAGTGGTATGATTACACAGACATGGATTAATATCTTCCGTGTGTCTGTCACAATGAACAAACGGGTAGTTAAAATTAAATGCAAATTAGAAATCAATGAAGCGTATATTTGATCTGTATACCTTTCTGTTAAACTTACTACACGTATATTCAAAAGACGTACAATGCACACCACTGTTGTTTTTTTCTCCCGTTCCTGATTGACAAAATACACCCAGCTGAAATTTAAAGTGATGGGGTCTTAATAGATAACACGATTTTTTTATTTCGTTACGAAATAAAGATCCTAGGTAAGTCAAATTTTGTTTGGTAGTGTTATTTGTTTATGTTGTATCTAACTTCAATCAGTATTCTAAATATAGCCAGTACTCAATGACCTTTATATACTTTAAAGTGTTTTTTTCTTTGTCTAATTCAGTTGCAAAGGGGGCCTTAAATTTATTTTTATTTTCAATTCTTTTTGAAATATGAGTAAGATTAAATTAAATTAAGAAATAAAATCTTATTGTTTTTATTTCACAGTATTTCCCACTTAAGAGAAAATATGTAGTATTTACCAGGACGGAATATATCATTATTTACCACTGGTTATTCCCACCACTGGTATTCCCCGGTCAACACTGCTTAAAGGCAGAGATTTTATACCGAGTGGTAAATTACACGTGAGGGAGGGGTTTATTTTGTACAGGTGTGAATGCCTTGGGGGCTAGTAGTCTATCTGTGGTCATTTGCCTCCTAATCCCTATATCCAGGAAGTGATTTAATACACAATGAAATACCCCAGGTGTCAAACTTTACCTGTATTGGAACTTTTGAGGCATTCTAAACTTAGAATTGAAAAATTCTGAGTCAAGTTTTCTCTCAAAAATGTACATTGATTTTATATTTGAATGATTGAAAACACTCCTAAAAAAATTATGTTATCAATTTATCATATGATGGTTATTTTAAAACCATCACAAAAATTGAGGAGATTATGAATTTGTAAAAAGAAAACGAGATTTACAAGCGATTCTTGATAACTGAAAAATAATGACACTATTTTGTATTTAAAAATTTGTATAATTGATTAAACACAAGTAACTTTTCCGAGGCTGACATTTACTTTTTAAATTAAATTTTAGCAAGCCCTGTTTTTTTAAACTAATATTTCTTCTCCAATAACAAAATATTCAACGTGACTTCTGTGAAAATAGATATCACAAAATGATTGATTGATTGATTGTATATTGTTTAACGTCCCTATTGAGAATTTTTCACTCATATGGAGACGTCACCGATTCCGGTGAAGGGCTTCAAATTTAGACCTATACTCGGCACTCAGGGCCATTGAGCAGTGAGGGTTCTTTATCGTGCCAACGCCTACCGTGACACGGGACCTACGTTTTTAAGGTCATATCCGAAAGACCCGTGACTTTCACTTCTAGTGCCGAGCGCTTGGCGAAGGAACAGTCACTACCTTTGTTTACGTCGATATACAACAGCATTTAAAGAACAAAAAACCATGAAAATCAATTTTGACATTAATTTATTTATTTTCTGAACATGATTTACACGTACATGTCATTTCCTCTAAAGTCAATGCATTATGGTGTCATGCAATATGCTATTTTACCCGTTTCCGTACATTCCTTAAAACTGACTAACAGTTAAAGTTCTTTAGCTATATTTTAACACCGTTGTTCCATCAGCAGTCTATGTGAAAGCATTCGTTTTGTAACGTCTTTGTAAGGTCTTACAATGAAATTGTCAGCAAATACAATTGATCATTAAGTTTTTTTTCCTACTGCCATGCCATCATGTACACACTGAGTTGTTCACGGACTTTTTCCTTTTTTGTAACATATTAAGGATCACACGGAAGATTTGACCGGTCGACAGTGTATGATCACTACTCCATGATACATGTTTTCATGTTTGGAGGTCCGTGTTTTCGCAGCTTCCATTTCGTAATGTTTAATGGACTTCTAAGCTTGAATAGTGTTCTTTATCTCTAGAAATGTCATCCAAAACATGTAATTCATAATTAAATAGTTGTTTTTAGATAATAAATTCAAAGGTATTTTTTTGTTTCTTTTTGAACCATAGACGTAAAATCATTTTTTATTCTTTGCCGAATGATAGATGGTACATTAGGACTGGGCAATTTTATGCATACAGTGAACTTAATTCTTTTGTGTTTTACTAAATAGTGTTCCTGATGTAAAATAAAACATAAATAGTCTTACGCAAAATATGTAGTAGTTGAAGCATTTCTCTACCATAGACAATAAAGAGCCTATTTTTTTTTTCATTTCTCGTATCATCGAGGTGGTTAATGCGCCTGCACTAAAATCGCAAAATAAGGAGTTGATTCTTACGTCACGGGTGCGAATCCCACTGTGGGGCGTTGGGGCCGGCCCTTCATGCGAGTCCGTTTAAGTCCCATGTTGCAGTACGTGCTGGTACGCCAAAGACTACTCAATGCTCAATGGCCCTGTGTGCAAGTATAGGACGGAATTTACAGCTTTCTACCGGCAAATTGTGGCGCCTCTATATGAGTAAAAAAATCTCGAGGGGAACGTTAAACAAACATAGAATTTATCAATCAATCCTCGTATATTTTTTTTGTTTGATACACAATTGTTGAGAGATAATTTATACACAATATTTTAGATAAGTCGGGATTTCCTATCCTATTTGAGAAATTTGGACTTTCAGCTTTTTTTTGCAAATGTTTTATTTGGCAAGGCATTGGTGTCATATGGACCTTAACTTTACCTGTTTATTTAATTAAGTTTTTGAGATTATGATCTTGTCTTCTCTAGATAATTTTTAATAACAACGTTTTAAATTTACAGAGACATACACTGTATCAGCTGAGATAGAAAAAGTCATGCTGTTATAGAAAAACAAGAGGAAAATACACATAAGAAATGAATGTCTGGTGTGAATAATGTCCAGATTCGTTCTTCAGAAATCTATCAGGGTGACCGGTATCAGGGAATCTGAATATCGACATATTTCTCAGGTCACATCAGACCGGGTCTGGATCAGTGATAGGCAAAATATCATCTTAACAAATACAGACGGTGATAAACTAGATCATGTTACAGGTATAGGTGGATATGGGCATGGAGTGCACACTGTAAGTAGCGAAGGTGATTTGATTTATATAGACAATGAGAATAATATCCAAAAGTTATCTAAAGTTAACAAAGAAAATAACACATTAATAAAGTATGAAGCACCATTTAAACCTCGAAGTGTCTACAGCTCTCCCTTAACTGGTGACCTGCTTGTTGGCTACAGCTTCCCTTTACGTCAAAGTATAGAGGTTGCACTTACTAATTTTAGAGTAGGCAAAGTAAACCGCTATAGCTCCACAGGAGAAAAAATACAGATCGTACAGCACGACGACATAGGTCAGGGACTTTTTAAAGAACCCAATTACTTAACAGAAAACTTAAATGGAGAGGTTATTGTGTCTGACTCTTGTCGGGGTGTAGTTGTGATGGATCAAGAAGGAAGACATCGCTTTTCCTACACAGAGGATCCATCAGGAAAACGTATAGTACCGCGTGGAATCTGCACAGATGCGCTTGCCAATATCCTGGTGTGTGATGGTAACAGTCACTCAGTACAGATAATTGACGAAAATGGACATTTTCTGTCAAAAATATTTTCTCAACGAGACATTATAAACGAACTATGGTGCCTGAGTTATCATGATAAAACTAACCTTCTCTGGGTAGGATTTTACACGAGCAGAGTGAACATATACAGATACATATCCGAAGATTCTTTGACAGGTAAGAACTGTCAAACATTTTAGATTCTTTTTTCCTTGATCAGTGAGTATCATACAACATTAGGTTTCAGTTGAAGCGTTAAAATGTTGTTATTAAGGTTTATCAAGGTGTTTCGTTTTCAAAAAGACCTTATACTGTTTCTATTGCTTCCTTTCATCATTCATTGTAGGAACATTCGAAAATATTTCTTTTGATCAGTGAGTAACATAAATTATTTTCAGTTGCAACCTTAAACGTTCGTATTATGGTTTTATTAAGGTGTTTCTTTTTCAGAAAGACCTTATAATGTTTCTATTGTTTCCTTTCATCATTCAGGTGTTTTTCTGCACGAAAGACTTTATCGTGTTTTAAAGTTTCTTATTAGGTCATTCCCCTATTTCTACGAATGAGACTGTATAATCGACGTCCTGTGTCGAAACAGATGCTCACCTGAAAAAAAATTCACTGCTCAGTAGCCTTGAGTAACGATTATAAGTCATATTTGCAGCTCTCCACTGGCAAGTGGCGGCATTTTCATATGAATGAAACATTATTGAGAGAAACGTTAAATTTTAATAAAAACAATCACATTTCCATGGAAGTTTTTTTCAAAGTGAAGTATTTGAAAGTATTTTTGATATATTATTTTGACTGCAAATGCCTAGAGTAACGTCAAAATTCAATGTAAAACCAACTTCCAGTCGCGTGTTAACCTGTCCTCAAATGAGAAGTTTCATGGAAACGGTACGAGATTAACACATCGAACTTATAAATGCAATATAACTTGAGAAGTAAGCGGAACAAATTGCATTAAATACACCAGTCTTCACATTTAGTGATCGAAGAAATCGAAAAAGTCCAACTTTTCTTATTTTTATTTAACCGCACAAATCTTAATTTATAATATTTCTTTTGCTATTTTAAATACAAATGTTTGTTAGATTAAAAAGAAAACAAAATGTCAACTTAAGGTTCATAGAGATAATAGATAAATAAAAAATAATAGGAGTTTTAAGAGACAAATAACGTTTCTCGTGTAACTGCCATTCTCTATTACCCTTGTATTAAATTTTTCACAGGTTTTCCTCTGGAAGACATTAAATGTAAAGCACATCCAAGAATTCCCCTGGACCATTTCTGTAGCAGATGTGGTGTTCCCTTGTGTGTGGAATGTATCATCTCAGACGGTCACAGCACACATGACCATAGAGATATAAAGGCGATGTTTGAAGAAATTTGCAGGGGAAAGGGTAAACGCCTTAAATATTAATGTTAGATATCTTAGCTAAAAAAATGTTTTCATTTTATGTTGGGTTATATAATCTTCTCATTTGTTTCCATCATCGTTTCATGTCTTGTTTTCCTTATCCTACTGCTCACTTGACACAAAGACCGAAACTTAAAAAATGTTATCGTATCAGCATTGTATATTATTGATCTCTTGTCAATTTATTTTTTATATAGAACCATAAGACAAATCTTCAATTCATACTGTCACGAAGTAAATTTGTATATATCTGATACCTGCAAGTGATATGCAGACTCCTGAAGTGAATTCGGAGGTCTTGTTAATTTATCTTCAATCTTTTTAAATTTTTTTTGTAGATCAAGAGGCATTTCTAATGTGCCTTCTCCTTTCCAAATCTTACAAAATAAACATGAAAGAAGAAAACTGGCTGAAAACGTACAATACCGTTGCCAACATTTTTCAATGTAATAAAATTATAACATCATTTGTTGCTGATGATTTAGAAATATACAGACCAATTTTGAAAATCAGGGGATCTGAGGTCAGTTTTTCAACTGATCTTTTCAAAAACATGAGTTTTCTCAAGTTATCAAAAAATGTAGAATTCGTTGATATTTTCTTGACTTGGGCAGAAAAAGAAAACATTGCTGAGTACTGCAGATCATGGAACTATACAAGAAGGGAGGATGAAGTATGCGTTTGGTTATTACCGGAAAAAACAGAGGATTTTGTCAATCGACTTGGCGAGGATATTTTTACACACCCCACTATGGAGGACCAGTTGTTTCAGGAAGATGTTGTTCGAACATGTAAGGTTACTTTTGCAGTCATAATTATTCAAATGAGAATTAAATGACAGAAGGCGTTTTGGGGGAACAATTAACCTTGTCTTATATATTTATGAAATAAATGAAAATAAAGAACAGTATCAAGCTTAAAAGTCCATTTGCCCCTCATTTGTTTAAAATATTCAATCCTTTATAGCAACAATTTCAATTAAATTAAATTCATAACAAATATGTAGGTGTTGAATGTAATAGCTTTTTTCTGCCCCCTATGCAAGATAAATTATGCAAACATGGTCGAAATTTATGTCAACATGCCAGAAAATTATGTCCACATGCAAGTTACAAATCCTGAGAGAGAATCTGACCTCAATATGGAAGAAATCACTAACGTAAGTCCGTATCTGACATCGTAGATGCACGATGCAACATTAATATGACAAAATACGATTGCCTTGTGTTAACATTCGAGATATTTAATTATCTTGCATGATGACATAACTATCTTGCATGTTGACATAATTATCTTGCATGTAGGGGGGCAGAAATATGTCACCGTAGTTGAATGCTCGGTGTATTTTGAAATAATTCCCATTTATTACTAATTGCATATAAGAGTAGGATGTGTCCTAATTTATGATCTTGAATTTTGGTAAGCGTTATCTCCCTCTAATTAAGATAAATAAAAGCAATCAATTTTCTGAAATTTTATCCGATAGAAAAGTTGTTTTTAATTTTCATTCTATTTCTAATGTTTCAACGCTTATTTCCACCACAGCTTTAACTGATATTCATATTATTTGAATATTCTTCTGAAAATGCTTTTCCCCATAGACTTCAACTGACTTAAATGTAATTTTTGCTAATCTACTACAGCTAAGATAATGAAATTTGTGGAACTTTCTCGCGGATAATTCTTTTCTACTATTGATAGTATCGTTTCATTTAATATCAAAGTATTATGTCCTTAACGGACATTTCAAGGTAGGTCCTATTAGGGATAAAATCTTAAATGTGAGATTTTAACATACATCCAATACTTTTAATACATTTTTGACTTTATAGTTGGCATCCCAATACAGATTATTATCAGAAAAGACAAGTATGTGAAGAATTTCATAGCGAATTTAAAAAAAGGGAAGACAACTTTGTACCATGCCTCTGGAATGATAGTTGGTTGTGCAGGTAGTGGCAAAACAACGTTACTTCAGAGACTCAAAGGAATCAACCTTGAAGAAATAAAGAAACATATCAGTTCAACAAGAGGAGTAGATATCCACAATGATGTTTTTGATGTGACAGACAGCATTAAAGGTATTCCAAATTTATTGCAATTATCCTTATTTAACATTTCATAGTGAGAGAGTTTTTTTTAAAGTTATCTTTTTTTTTCTTTACAAAGAAATTTTTAAAATTCGGTTTGATTTCTCTGTGATTATTCTCTGAAATTAAGTTGAAATGAATTCTTGATAATTTATGGCATGTGAATTTCGCGAAGCAAAAGGTCTTTGGCTTCTTTATTTCCTTTTTTTCTCTATTATTCCTTTAGTACACAAAGGCACATCTATATATGAAGCTTTTATATATATAACCAGTGTATAAGTATACTAAGGAAAAAATATATATCCTAGTATTTAATTTCGCACAAAGTAGGACCAACATTAACGTTTCTTAAACAGTACTATACGGCGACTTATAGGCGAGTATATAAGATTTTAATAATTTGATTTCATGAATGCAAGCCAATATCACATCACATCAATGTAACAAAATTCTATACATGATACTGTTACAATCATCTCATGAAATATATTTATATAATGTGTGCGTGCTTTAAGCAGGAGGGGGGGTCAAAACGTTAGGCAAACCTTGCTTTCTTCCCAAAACACGAAATATTTTTATATAGGATGGCGGCCATAAATTTTGACATTATCTTCCATATTTTATAAAAGGGCTTAAAAAAAGTGCACCCGCCAATGAGGTACACACTTTTTATGTAACAAAAACTCGATTTTGTGATATAAGTTTTTTTGGGGGGTTTCCTTATTCCATGGTTTCGCGAAAGTGCTTTAAGAATCGTATGGTTGACGGAAATAGACAAAATATTTACAATCCTATGAACAAAATGTAAAAATTTTTTAGAGGCTTCATCCAAAAGTGTTGAATGATTATTTCTGTGTTAAGAGAGTGGGATTCTATCATCACCTTTCATGGTACAGAGATTATTTTACATAACTATCAAAACAAAAAGAAATTAATTATCCCTGGAGTAGTGTTGAACTTTTAATTTTTTCATTAAGGCATATTTTTCTTTTTAAAGACGTCACACGATGACGTCATGGCGGAGTGCCTCCTGTAATGTAAGTCACATTGAATTCTATGTAATGAATGGTGATAGCAAAAATTTTATCCATGCCTTTTCCTTTTCATCAGTGTTATCAAGACGTATAAATTCGCCAAATTTTAATCTGTGAACTGCCTTAACACCCCTGTGAAATTTGAATCTTGTTCGGGCAAGTGTTACTTGACTTAATAAATAGATATGAGATTTATTTTCAAAAATTCAATTCAAGTGATTGTTGTTTGCAGTAAACTCTTCATGCCAGAGACAACACTTTAAGATAAGTTTTGACGACATTTCTCGAGAGCGGAGATTACCCGAACAAGAAGTACCCGAAGAAGGGAAAAAGCGGGAACATGTGGTTGTAGGAGATTCTCCTGTTGAAGCACTTGACCATGATATGGAATTCGATTATGAAACCACCTCACAAAATACTAGATCATATGATGAAAAAGTTGCCCCATCTACAGATAATTCTATGGAGGTTACCGATAAAAACATCGATGATAGATCAAAAATATCTGGAAATTTACATATTGGTGTAAAGAACATTTCAGAAGATCCAGATAAGAGAATAACCATGACTGACTTTGCAGGACAGTGTGCCTATTATGCATCACACCAGATTTTTTTGAGTCCAAGGGCGTTCTTTATTCTGGTGCTCAATATGGATGAAAAGTTTGATGATAAGGTTGGAGAAGATGTATGTAGACAGGAGGGCTCCATTTACAAAGAGTGGACTCACAGAGGTTTGTTTAAGCAATTATATGCTTATTTTCGATAAATCAAGGCATATTCAAGTACGAGATAGATTGATAATACATGTTTAATCTATATTTATCGTATATCTGGTCATCAATAATATTATTTTTTAACGACGTACAACAGTTTTGAATTCCTTATTAAAAGTACCAAATGTTAAAAAGAGACCAGAGATTAATTTTTATAAATGTGAAAATGTAAAAAAAAAAAAGTCATTAAAAGTACTGCTTATGTTTTTAGTAGTAGTGCTCATTTTTTTGGACATGATAGAAAAATGCTATTAAACACATTTTGTTAGAGAATTCCTAATTAGATATAAAATAAACCCATACAATAAGCTGCTGGTATTTCAGATATAGCAACTAGTGTTAATGAATCAAACGTGCGAATACTTTTGACTGTTTTCAAAGATATTTTAACCTCTAGCTCCTGATTTCAGCATTCTGACGACAAAGCAACATTACCCCATTGATTACAGATAGAAAGTGCAAAGCACTTCAATATCAATGCAGTCTTTTTTTTCATACTTGTTTTTGATAAAAAAAATCAATTTTCTTAGTGGTTTCTGAGCATCTTATACCCCATTCATACGACATGATTTGCATTCCTCAGTATATTTTACTCATATGTAAATTAACTCACATGTGCAATTTTGGTCGTATGAACTGATTTGCTCACATGTAAATTTTGCACAGTTGAGTAAATTTACACCTGGTCAGGACTAGGTGCAAATTAACTTTATGAGTTCATATGTGTAAATTTTGTCGTATGAACACGCAGCAAATTTACTTATGCATGTATTTTGTTTTGTTTAATGCATAAATCTCCATTTTTATACCCCCCTCCCGCTTGAAAAGTGGAAAGGGTATACTGTAATCGGTATGTCCGTCCGTCCGTCTGTCTGTTACGCTTTGGAGTACCCATCACTTATCCGCATCTCCTCTTATACTACTGAGTGAAATTTAATGGAACTTTCACAGAATCTTAACATATTGCCATTGTGCACCTCCTATTTAACTTTTTGATCCGACACATATTTTGGGTTTCCCGGCCAAAGAAAAACATGGACTTTTCCATTATAACCATATGGGAGGTGGGGGTATCATTTAGTGAGCTCATTGCTCACAGTACCTCTAGTTGGTGCTGTTTTGGTTGTTAATATATTGTTGTCTATATAATATCAGTCTGATATTAATATAGTATCAGGGTACTGCTTTAAAGCATACGCCGGGTTGTTCTAGCATAGCTCTTTCCACCAATGACTTTTTCAACTCTGAAAACAAGTATCCACACCATATCTCCAGTCTCTTCTGAGATAAATTTGAATTTGCAAAAAACGTGCGCATCTTGCACCCTTCCTGGCAAACCTATCACTACTGGACGAAAAAAGTGCTGAGAATCCCAAATTTTACTGATAATGTCTGATAATTACTGATAATGTGCTGTTCTTGCTGATAATTACTGATATTTACTGGTATTATTACTGTTGTTGCTGATAATTTTAGTTGTTGCTGATAAATACTGATAATTACTGTCGTCTTTTACTGTGGAGTCTGATAAATACTGATAAACACTGTTGAGGTACTGTCGCTGCTGAGAATTGCTGATAATTACTGTTGAGGTACTGTCGATGCTGAGATTTACTGATAATTACTGTGGTCATTGTTTTTAACCTGGGAATGGATTAAAATAGCCTGAGAAATGATTATTTGGTTTTTTTTAAAAAAGTATTTTAACAAATTCATTACAGTCAATTACAAAATAAATTATTCTAAATAAAAAAGTCACATTTTATTAATTTGTTTTCAGTTTTCATATATTAATTTCATTATAATAATTTTTGACCATTATGTTAACATAAGCTTTCATAAGTGTTTATGTTTTTTCTTTAAATTTCTCCTTACACGTAGATGACATTATCTGAGGAAAATTATTCTGTTGTATTTGCAGTGGTTTTTCTTCCCAAGTACTTTTTTAAAAAGTTTAATTTTTGTTCAAAAAAAATCTCATCTCATATTTTTTCTCACATGTATGTGTACTGTTATCAAAAGTTTTTTGTGGGTTTCTTTAATACTTCAATACAGTCAATGGTTTTAAATTTCAATTTAATTTACCGTGTGGAGAACTGAAAATGCATGAGCACATTAAGTTGAAAACACCCCCCCCCCTTTTCCAATTACTTTTAAATTAAGCTCTCATTTGAACAAGACAGTATTAAATATTTTTCATAAAATCTAGTCTTGAAGCGTACACTTTGTTATTTTATAGAAGAATGTGACAGGGTTAAATAATTAAATTGAAGCATCTTTAATTATTTTTTTATATGGATTATGTAGACAGCGCGCTCTAGTTCTCCAATGTCCTCCCTGCGAATTTTATATCGTGTCGCTTTCTAGCTTTCTCTCTCTCTCAATCTCTTTTAAATTATTTGTTAAGGCTTAAGGATTGTACACTACATGACATAAATCTTATGCAGAGTGATTTTCAGTCAATGAAATATACGTCTTTCTTTAGGCTAATTCTTTTTTCAGTCATTGTATACAGTTTTAAGTCTATGGGCATATGGCTTCTAATATTATGCGCCACTCCTTAAACATGTTATATGCGGTCAGTCAGTTAAAAAACTAAATAAAATAAATCATAACTTGAATAAACTTTTTCCATTAATGCAAACTTTGTGCTTGTTGTTATTGAACATACATGTCAACCACGTGTAAAAGTTCTACTTTCGTTTTGGAATCGGGTCAATTATTAGTACATTCTGCCATAGGGATATCGTTACGGCTTGCGTTTTTGTAAAATAAGAATTTTATGCAGTGATTATAATTTTTAATTTAATTCCATTTTTCTCCGACCCTTTGTATAAACGAACAGTACAGACTTGGTGCTTATTTATATGATTTTACTTGATTGTAGCACAAAAAGGAGGAGGTGAAATACTGTCTACAATTAAGTGATAGCCGATAGGGCAAGGTCTGTTCTTTAGTTGTGTGTTTTAAAAGTCATGCAAGTTATGATATTATACTTATCGAATTTTTTATATGCGTGAATAAAATTATTGTAGAGAATCAATTGCAATGAACCAAACAAATTTCAGAACTGAAGTAATTATAACATTTATTCATGAGTGCGATACACAACGTCATGTTTCTGACATTCAAAATCCATACATTTAAGGGTTTTTTTTTCTCGGATTAAGCGAAGTGGAGTTTCCCTGCATCTGAATGGGGAACAATTCATGCTAATATTAATTCAAAAAAGTGCTTCACTAAACAATCTTTCTCTTAAGTTTATATCTATATGATTGTATATTTTGCACACTTTTTTTTTTATTAAAAAGTGAAGTTTTGTTTAGTTTATTCACGCATGCCTTTTAGACCTACTGTTATGTATAAAATCACTTACATTTTATATGTTTTTGTGGTCTATGTATACTAAAGTAAAATGGTAAAAAGATTCAAATAAATGAGTGATTGATTGAAGAAATATGCGTAAAACTAAAAAATGAAATTAAATACTGAAGAAGATAGATCTTTGAGAATTGAAATAATAATGAAAATAAGTCTGTACAACGTACATGATGTACATGTATATATCTTTTTTTTTTCATTATAGTACCAAAGTGTTCTATTCTAAATATTTTTTTCTATCAATTTTATTCGTCATCAAATTCAATATCATGGAATTTTTTTTTCGTGCGACCATAAACTTTAAGATTGTTTCAAAGTAGCGAGTACATGTACAGTGTAGGTAGTTTGTTTATTGAAAACACCGGTAGCCGCAGACGAAGAACAATAGGTAATTAGTGCCCATTGTTACGCTGACCACTACAATTTGCATGGAATATACAAGTTGTACCCTGTTCTACCCCGGGGCTGAAGACATGTACACAATACAGCCAAATCACAGGTCGATCACCGATTTCTGATCAATTGAAATCAATTTCAAGGTGTTTTCCTTTCAACTTTTTACCATGCAAAATTAAAATCAATTAATTGATCATATACTAATAGTAACATATTAAATTAAGTCTCATTTCAGTTTTTATTTCCCATTCCATAAAATAATAAAAAAGTTAATGAGATTTCAAAACTGATTATATAACCAGAAGTCTCTGTCGAGACTGAAGCTCTACTGGTTTGAACTTATAGCAAAGGAAGAGAAAAGTACTTAAGCAGCTGGGATTTGAAACTAAATAGAATAATGATCGTTGATAAAGTCTCTTTATGTTCTTAGTGTAGTCTACTTGTGTGCCAAGTTATATTGAAATCAGACCAAAACTGTAGGAGGAGTAGCATTTTGAAACAATTTTACAGATATTTCTATTTTTTTAGTAACCACGGCAACACCGTTCATCAAAATTACAATTCGATACTCAGAATTATGTATCTTAGTGTATTCTGCTTATGTGCCAAGTTATATTGAAATCAGACCAAAACTGTAGGATGAGTAGCATTTTGAAACAATTTTACAGATATTTCTATTTTTAGTAACCACAGCAACACCGTTCATCGAAATCAAAAACCGATAAACAGAATTATGTATCTTAGTGTATTCTACTTGTGTGCCAAGTTATAATGAAATCAAACTAAACTGTAGGAGGAGTAGCATTTTGAAAGAATTTCACAGAAATTTCTATTTTTAGTAACCACGGCAACACCGTTCATCAAAATCAAAAACCGATAAACAGAATTATGTATCTTAGTGTATTCTACTTGTGTGCCAAGTTATAATGAAATCAAACTAAACTGTAGGAGGAGTAGCATTTTGAAAGAATTTCACTGAAATTTCTATTTTTAGTAACCACGGCAACACCGTTCATCGAAATCAAAAACCGATACACAGAATTAAGTATCTTAGTGTAGTCTACTTGTGTGCCAAGTTATAATGAAATCAAACCAAAACTATAGGAGGAGTAGCATTTTGAAAGAATTTCACAGAAATTTCTATTTTTAGTAACCACGGCAACACCGTTCATCAAAATCAAAAACCAATACACAGAATTATGTATGTTAGTGTAGTCTACTTGTGTGCCAAGTTATACTGAAATCAGACCAAAACTGTAGGAGGAGTAGCGTTTTGAAAGAATTTCACAGAAATTTCTATTTTTAGTAACCAAGGCAACACCGTTCATCGAAATCAAAAACCGATACACAGAATTATGTATCTTAGTGTAGTCTACTTGTGTGCCAAGTTATATTGAAATTAGACCAAAACTGTAGGAGGAGTAGCATTTTGAAAAATTGTTTACAGACAGACGGACAGACAGACGGACAGACGGACGGACGCCGGACGCATTACTGTCGCATAAGCTCTTCTGGTCTCTGACCAGTAGAGCTAAAAAATGATTTTGTATTTAAATTTTAAGACAAATTAAACACATGTACTAGGGATTCTTAACCTCTGATTTTTAATCAGCTCGCCCCATTTGCCGGTTGCACATGCATACAGTGTGTACTTGTACATATGTACATGTGTAGGAGTTTAATTCTTGGACGATCTACAAACGTCTACATAACATTAAAATAAATGAATAAATAAATTATTAACTAAAATCAGTGCCCACAGATTGAACATATCCAAACCTGTTTTCACCTCTTAGTTAATTTTTAAAAGGGATAAAATTTCTAATTTCCGAGCAAATTTTCAAATATTTCGACAAAAAGAGACCAGAAAACTGAACATTTAACAAGATAAATATAATTGTTTTCGAGAAAAAAAGGCCTTCAAAAACAAAATGTTGTCCAAACTCGACCAGTTGACCTAGTGAAAACGGAACAAATCCAACTTTTCTAACCTGCAGGAAACTTTTTTTTATCCCGATTTTTTTTCCAATCCATTAAGAACTTTTTTCTTATTATTGAAAAAAAAAAGATCACCGATCTCCCTACATAATTTTCTTGAAGTCGGGAAAGGCGGCGATGGATCTTTTTTAAGATAGCATAATTTTCTTTTTATTTACAGTTTATTTTTCAATAAGATCTTATGCAAAAGAAAAATTCCATTTTTTTTCTGCCGTTAATTTTTTTTTTATTAATTCTATTTCTATATATTCATTCTATTAATAATTCATTTGATTATTGTAAAAATTTTCACAAAATTAACGTAATGTAGAAATTGAGGTCAGCATACATACATACAGTCATGTAATTTTGCCACAAGCAGAACATTTAAAAAAAATATGAAAATTTTGCCATGATAATTCAAGTAAAAGAAAGTAATAATTGAAGGTTTTTATAGCCCTCTGTTTTATTTTAAACCAATTCGAGTTTAAAAACAATGACCACAGTAATTATCAGTAAATCTCAGCATCGACAGTACCTCAACAGTAATTATCAGCAATTCTCAGCAACGACAGTACCTCAACAGTATTTATCAGTATTTATCAGACTCAACAGTAAAAGGCAACAGTAATTATCAGTATTTATCAGAAACAACAAAAAATATCAGCAACAACAGTAAAAATAACAGTAAATATCAGTATTTATCAGCAACAAGAGCACATTATCAGTAATTATCAAACTTTATCAGTAAAATTTGGGATTCTCAGCACTTTTTTCGTCCAGTAGTGTATGTTTATGCCTCTAAAGTATAAAAATATAACTGTGATCGCGCAAACATGTGCCCTGCAGGATCATTAAGTAAACCCTTACTATTCAAGTTGTCTTCATGGGAATGCTCCGGAGCTGTTATAGGAATAGACATTTCATCAATCACCCGGTACCATTTAAGTTTGACTTTCTTCTACCTTTCTTTGTTTTTAAATCAAGGCAAGCTACTGACATATAAATTCATGCTACATGAATTTCAACAAGCATGTTGAAATTAAACATTTTTAAGTATTCTCGATCGTTGGCACCTGATCCCACCATGCATTTCTAGGGAATTCGTGTTTATTTCCTATTTACATATTTGTTTTGTTTGAATTTTTTAAAAAACGATTGCCCATTTCATTCTCCTGGAAAAATATATAATATTCAAGCAGAAACTTCATAATAAACTCGCAAACTTGATATACTGTTAATTTCCAAACACCAAAATGATTTCCAGTCGTACTTTACTCTGCTTAAGAGGCCATACAGTAGATAGCAACAGCCATCTTTTTCTGAACTCTCAACGGCTCTCCTATAGTCTTTAGGGCCTAGACCAACGCATTTTCCAATTTAATTTTAAAAAATGATTTCAATTAATTTTCATTTTTTCGTATATAAATTTTTCCTAAATGTTTGCTTTTTTCCATACCAAAATAATGGATGGGATTTCCTCCTATTTTCCTTGAGGAACATTTAAAAGTTAGTCTTATACCCAAATGGTAAGAATTTAACCTTTTCCTATAAGGTTCAACAATTCTGAATCTGTGGATCACCTTATTTTATTTGAAAATATAAGGATTAATTTACAGTACATAAATCTCGTCTGAACGCATAGCAAATTAACTTTTACTACGTGTGTATAATTACTCATAATTATGTAAATTTGCACACATAAGCAAATCTTCGTCGTATGAATGGGGTATAAGAAGAACTTTTTCTATCTAAAAATGATTCACACTTTTTTCTCAACAATGAGGGAGCACTTAAATCATTTGTTTAGGAATTCACTGTAAAAAGTTAACAGTTTATAAAATTCAGTGAATGTACTGAATGATCACTTAAATGTCTTGAAACGTAAATTTTCAGTAACCTGAATTGTAGTTATTCAACTTGTTTACGAAATTACATTCTATAATAAAATCGACAAGGAAACTTTTAGGTAAAACCTCATAGGCTTCATAGGAACATTTAAGTGCAATATTATAAAATATTTCTTTAGATTATCTTGAATTTTGGATGAAGTCTATTCACCAATATAGCAATGAAAAGGCCCCGGTCATCTTAATTGGTACTCACAGTGAAAACAAAACAGAAAAGGTAAGTTCCTTTTTGTTTCCTTTAAATAAAAAATTGATTGTATATTATTATATGGAGACGCCACCACTTGCGGGTTGCGAGTGCAAATTAAAACTTTGTATTATCCTCACCAATCAAGGCCATTGAGCAATTAGGAATCTTTTTTCATGCCAGCTCGTACTACAACAATGGACCACGGTTTATACGATCTCATCCAAAACTAGGACTTTTCTCTACGTCCCACAGTGGGATTCCAACTGGCGACGTAAGGATCAACTCCTAACTTTGTGACTCTAGAGCAGATGCCTTTACCACTAAGCCACGCGGACGACCTTTTTTGTAAAGGGTTAAAGGTTTTAGTATTTTTACCTGTGCAAAGGGCTTGGAGATTTTCAACATTTTCAAGCTCACCTGAACCAAGAGCCAATTTCGATCAAACTTAAGAATTTGTATTGTATTAACAGAAACTTCCTAGAACTGACAAAAGTTCCATAACAATTTTTATTAAAAGTTCGGTATTAATTAGACCTTTAGATTTAATTAGTATTAAGTCGTCTAAATTTTGCAATAAATTTAATTACAAAAAGATGTACGAAGCATTGATTCTGGGTTTATTTAGATAATTTTGAACGTTTATGTTTTCGTGTGACGTCACAATTGATTTCCCACACTCGGAAAATACAAACGTGAAGCGTTTTTATCTCACGTGTTATATATTTTACATTTTGCAAAGGAATTTTAACAATGCATCATGAATATCAGATCAAATGATCTATGTGAGCAAAAACACACAAAAATTTTGACACTGAGCAATGATATATTATTGATGAAAGTCAATTAAATCTAATGTACCGACTAATACAGATGCGTATTTAAACATAGCATGAAATATACCTAGATTCAAAAGAGTATTCGCTCTCGAAAGTCCATTTTTCAATGTTGATGTTTGTTTTAGTAAAAATTCTTTATTTCCACATTCTGGCTTTAGTGATCCACGTACAAATGCCTAAGGTTTATATCTGCAATCATTTTTTTTCTATTCTCAGGAGAAGATTGCATTTTTTCGTGAAATTTGGAAGACGCTAGAAACAAAGGACAAGTCTTTGCACAATCATCTTCAAGTGAAAAAACAATTTTCAGTTGGATTCCATGACAATGAAAGCATTGAAAAAATCAAGCTGTCAATAGCTGATGTTGTACAAAATCTAAACCACTGGGGAGAAGAACTTCCACGTTCATGGGTTATGTTTGAAAGATTTTTCCAAGAAAAGAAATCATTGCGAATCATGAATAAAAAACAGATTAGCGATTTTAATGCTTTATTACCACAGGAATTAAGACTTGAATCAGCTGACGGAATAAATCTTATGTTGCAGTTTTTCCATGACATCAGAGAAATTCTGTACTTTGACCAAAAATTTCTAAACGAAGTTATCATTATTGATGTACAATGGTTTGCAGATGCATTTAAAAATATCATTACAGACAAAAACCATGCAGAGGAAGATTTATTTGAGTTTGCAAAAGAATGGGATAAATTTAATGAAACTGGGGATTTGGATGATACGCTCCTGACATCTATTTGGAAAATTACGTGTAAGGATTGTATTGAGCATAAAAAGAATATTATGCTATACATGGAGAAGCTAGGGCTTTTAGCTGAAATGAGTGACAAAAAATGGTATGTTCCCTGTATGAACAAAATTCCTTTTCCTGCAAATCTCACCACTTCATACCCTGCCTCATCTATTCTTTGCTACGTGTTTGATATTCTTCCTGCTGGAATTTTCCATCGCCTCATTGCTAAATGCATGCAAATTCCTTGGAGAATTGTTACAGAGAAAGATAAACAGTGCATTTACCAGACAGTGGCGGTCTTCCTGTATGAGAACCATAACATTCTTCTTGGAATGACACCAGCGGAAATTCAGATACAGGTGTTTGTAAGCGAAGGAGAATTTAATAAAGCAACTTGTCAGGAGATAAGAAAAGAAATAAATAACATACTTAATGTTCTTTCCGAAACATTTCATAAAGATGCTAAATTCTTGCTTTCTTTCAAATGCAAAGCTACAGGATTCTGTGATAACCAAGAAAGTTCTGTGATCCCTGAATCAGAATTCATAAAACCTACCTTTCAGTGTCCTTCTTGTCCAATTGGGAGAAAGCACAACATCAACTCAAAGGATGTCATGAAATATTGGATGCAGGTAATGCAATATAAATGCTGTTCCCTGCAGAGGATATGCAGGAAAACTTTACAGAAATTTATTGTTTCTGTTATGGATGCTGATTCTGGATCAAAATTTGCCTGTTGTATGTCTTGTCTAGATATTTGTTTGTTTGAATTTTCATAGCCAAACAGGGTCTTAATTCGATCACTTCAACTTAATTGAACGTCTCCATATGAGTGAAAAATTCTCAAGAGGGACGTTAAGCAATATACAATCAATCAATCAACCAAATTGCACGATTGTTTTAAAGTACAAAATGCCAACCGATAGCAGAATGAATGTTTTCAAATATAGTCCACAAGGTCAGGATGGGAATACATGTACGTACTTGCTTGTGGGAAGAATATGATAAATTTTGAGCCAGTAAGTATTTAAAATTTTTTTTTAGAAAATTTAGAAAAAAAAATCAAATGTATGAACTTAGATTTTCAAATAATGGCCTATAATTGAGGGATCGGAAAGGAGAAAAAAATGAGCATAGCTTGTCAATGTAATATTTCCATTCGATGGAATCATGTATCTGTTCATTGGTCCTAAAAGCTAAATTAAGGTTCTTTTTTAAAATCGACACATTTAGGGCCTTAAATCTGTATGCACTTTTCACAAAAAACAAAACAAAACAAAACCAAAAAACCCCTCATATAATCAACAACGCAACAACTTGTCATTTCAAAGAGACGGGTATAATTTGTTTTGTAAGAAAAGATATGTAAATCAAACAAGTATTGAGGTTGATAAATTTTTCTTCCATTTTGTTCCACTCATGATGCATTAAATGTATATTTTGTTTGTAAGATAAGGAAATCTTAAATGATTATTTTTGATGAGCAAATAGATTTTCAGTGTCAATATTTACATAGTCAAGATTTCTTTTAATTTTTTGACTCAGTTTCAATTTATTTTAAACTCTTAAGGTACCTGTCGATGAAAATGAAGATAAAGATATATATAAAGGTCCACTGTCAGGGAATTCTAGACCCAGTAAGTCACATGCCAGAGGTATCTTCATTTATTTCTTTACAGAACAGAGGTTATATGATATACTATAGGACACCTTATTTTGCCATGGTCATTTGGTAATTATGCGCGGGACATATTTTTAGGAGTCTGGACGTTAAATATTGTTCTGTTTTTTTCCTTTGTAAAGAGAATATATGTATATACCGGTATAATTTGGATCCCTTGATGGATTTGAATATTTTTTTTCAAAGCATGTAATAAATATAAAGGTTTAAGAATGACAGACAAATGATATAATGAAAACATGTTACTGGAAAGCACCGATGACGTTGAAATTTAGCATGGGAGTGAAGTTATTGACAGGAATTCATTGTACAAAATAAATACGTTGCTTATAACGGACGTAATATAACAATAAGATGGGTTATGATAATCATCATTCCTTGACAAGTTTAGATAATTCTCTTACTAACCATATGATACACCGAACACATAAAAAAGAATAACCTTTACCGTTTATTCTGTACGTGAGGACAGCATATTATGCATGGTTTTCATACAACATTTTATAAACAGCGGGATATGACGTCATGACGTCAAAAATAATGGAGGGTGTTACCTGTACAAGTTCTTTGTATGACGTGTAATTAAACTCTCTTGTATCTTATTGAACACTGTTGATAAGGTCAGATAAAAATATATATATATATGTCACTGATTAGGTATATATACTTCTGTAAAAAAGATTCTATATATTGTACACGTATGTTTCTTCAACTGACTTTTTTGAGACAGGATTCAATTACTTCTTTATTGTCATTTTATTTACAGCAATTACAATTAGCTTTTATAATTTTATCATTAATTTAAACACTGGAGGAACTTTTTTAATTAGATAATATGGCCAGGATTCTAAAGTTATTGCAAATTGGAACTGATGCAGTAAGAATCTGCTTTGATAAATTCTTCCCAAAAGAGGATTTAGAGAAGACTCTGAAAGAAAATGAAACAGACATGAGAAGTGGACAGTTCCGATTCCAACAACCTCAACTGGAGATTCTCTTCCCTCCTCAAGGTACTTAACTGTATACTCCCCTTAATGATTAACAATATGCTTATAAAATCTTTTATAGATTAAAAGAAAAACTAAGGCTTATAATCTTTATACTATATATTTCTTAATTTTCCCCCTTTACCACAAAAATAAATCCTCTCAAACCATAAAGCTTTTATCTAAGTAAGAAAATAAGTTCACTAAAAAATTCGTGATTTTACAGTATCCATACAATCACTTAAAGATCAAGAACCTCTAATTCCACAAATTAGATAAAAGAAAACAAAAAAATATATATAGATTTTTATATTATAACTGAACGAATCGACCGATAAAAATTTGATTAAGCATTTTCGTAAATATCAAAACAAGAATGGAAAAATATAAGTTTGAATGCTTGTGATATTACCAATGATAAAATCACAGTGATTTCAATTTCAAACAAGCCATACAGAGCACCAAAATGTACATAATGATCTCTATAAGGATTTACATAGCATAATTGCAACATCTTCTTTTACATATGATTACGATGGCGAGAAACATATTGTGATATACGTTACGTTTTAAACGTTTCAATTGTTTTTGATTTGATAAAAAAATTGAAATTAACAAGAAAAAATGTTTGTTTTGTTTTGCTGAAAGTGGATGTCATGATGATAATAAACTATCATTTAAAGTAGATTTTTTGTTCAAAATGTAAGGAAGTCTTTATCTCAAACAGTTTTACGCTATTTTGATTGATTGACTGAACATTGTTTAACGTCCCTCTTGAGAATTTTTCATTTATATGGAGACACCACCACTTGCCAGTGGAGAGCTGCAAATTTTGTCCTACACTTGGCACTTACGGTCATTTAGCAGGGAGGGATCTTTTTCATACCAGCACCTACAACGACGTGGGACCTCGGTTCATACGGTCTCATCTGAAGGACCGGTCTCCATGTCTCACGGTGGGATTCGATCCTGCGACGTAAGAATTGACTCCTTACTTAACGGCTCTAGAGCAGACGCTCTAACCACTGCGCCACGCGGTCGACTACGCTATTTTGACCTTACATTTTATGAAACTGAGCGGCATGGAGTATTAAATGGCAATTATATAAGCCTTTGTCATGAGCCTAGAGATGTTGACATTTTACAAGTGATTGTCAATTTAATCAAAATCCCAATACTCATTTAGCAGTCTAGGTTGTTAGGATGTGTATAATTCGGACTGTGTATCTGAATAAATATGGGAAGAAAAAAAATCTTTATTTCAACTTCATTTTTTGCAGAATATGAAGCTTCAATACAGTTCATTTATTTTTGAAGGTGGATCCAACACTGGTGTATCATCTTTATCTATGGACGTTACCATCATGTATAAATTGTTGAGGAATTTCTCTGACATTGCTCCTCCTGGGAATGGATGGGGAAAAGAACCTAAAATAGTGCACATTACAGAAAGCGACGATATAGAAAGAATTCGTTTATATAGAAATAAATACAGTCATGATTCTGGAGGTAGCCCCGTTATGAGTGATGATGTTTTTAACATAATCTTGGCTGATCTTTCAAAGGTGAGTTAAAACTATAGAGTCAAAGTTATTTTTTTCCAACGGTGGATAAGATTTTAATTTATTTGTTCTGATAGTGTAAGAATTGGCATTCATTAATTTTAAGGTCTTAAGTAAAACATTATAGGGTCAATTTCCTGGCTCTAAATAGAATTAATGTTTTTAACATAATCTGGGTCAACTTCATCCTCCTTCCGCGTAGTTACTCTTTTTAACGCTTATACCATTTCCTATTTCAAGCGCAAAATCACGCATACTAGTATACCGTTACCCCGCAAACATGCATTTTTCACGCACTTTAAAATGTGCATTTATTCTTTGATTTAATGCCAATTTCCTTTTATTATTTTATACTGCTAAAATCTCATAAAATAAGAAAATTTATTTTAGTCATATTGTTAAACCTTAACTTTAGAGAAACTTGAACCGCGCTAAAACGTGCCTTAGAGGAAAGGTGACGTCATATTTCATTAAGTGTAAGTTGCATAACAGTTTAGTACGTTGTAAAGAGTTATAGCTAGAAAATGATAGATTTTAACAGCAATTTTCTCATAAAAATGAAACATATTATATACATTTTAGAACTTTAAGAAAAATTCACGGAGATGAAAAATTTGTATCTATTTAAAAAATTCGTATTTGTATTTATGTACAATGGAGCCTCATTTATCCGGACGCTTTGGTTCCTAGTCAATTTGTCCGGATATGTGAAGCATCGGGATACCTGAATCACCAGTTAAACAAGACAATATAACATTTAAAAATTCTGTTCCGATGAAATATCGTCCGGATACTGAAGCATCCGGATATCTGGGATCCCGATATTTAAAGGTCCACTGTACTTCTCTACTGTACGAGTCCAACATTTTCTCAATAATTCAATCTTCATTATAGTCTTTATAAAAAAATTAATATGAAATTTTCTAAAGATATTTTGTTTTCATTTTTAGGCCATTCTAAGACTTGGTGGTGATGTTTTGAAGAGAAGGATGAGTGAAATATAAGAGCGGTTATGTAAAAAAAATAAATAAGAAGATGGAGTTGAATAGTTTAATTAGAGCAATCATTCTCTCCAAGGGCCGAAGGCCCGGGGAGGGGATGCTTTCTACAAACTTTTTATTTCTATTGAATTCATCTAACTTAAAAAAGTCCCTTCTTAAAGCCCAAGAAACTTTTATCCAATCAAATATCAAACTTTGCTGTAATACGATAAGATGTAGCCCATTTAAATATCTAACAGTGACACAAGACAATATCATAATCAAACACCCCTTTTAATCATGGATTAGTAAACATGAAACTACATGGTGCTGATCTCCTTTTCATTGTACTGAACAGTCAACGAAGAATATCTTTAATCTAAAGTAAAATAGAGAGGTTCAGATAGTGTTTTGAATACTTTTAACCTGAAAGCTGAAAAAGCTACAGATTTTTGATACAAAGTAGGCAATTTGTCAATTCATATTATAAGATGATGGTTTGTGGAGGAAAAAGTGTCAGATTCTTGTGGAATTCCATTCAGACAATGCTTCTACATGTGTTAGAAGCTTAAACAGATTTAAAGAAATCGACGTTGTTATGCAGAACCTGCTTTAAAAACATTCGATATCAAGATCTGAAAAAAATCAGTGTCGAAAATAGATGGGCAGTGAATTAATTGGGTTGTTTCGGGAAGTACGCAGGAAAAGTATGAAACAGTGATAAATCTTGGATAATCAAAATGGATTTACTGATAATGGACCCTCAAATAATATTCAGGAATAAGAAGTGATGTGGTTTAAGATTCAAGGTGAAAATGTATTTAAGCGATTACGGTAATTCTTTGTGCTCTGGAAATTAATTCTACCAGTGCGTCAACATCGGAATAATTGTTATTTTTTATGTTCAATGGAATTATACATTTTAAAACTGTTAATCTCTTTTGTTTTTTGCTTAATGTATAATGCACCTCAGTTGGGTATTTAAAAATCTAACCGACAGGCAGTTGGATATTTGGATAATTATCCAATTGATTGCCAGTTGAATTTTATAATATACCGGTGGTGTAGAGTAGGATTTCCCCCATAGCCAGCTTTCCCCCCGGAAATCGTACTCTAGAGTAGGATTTCCCCCCGGGGGGAAATCTCACACCAGAGCCAAATTTCCCCCCTCTTTCTCTCTCAGAGTAGGGTTTCCCCCCTCATTAGAGAGTCAATATAACCCAAAGCCGCAATATTTTTGTGAAACAAAAGTACGAGAAACTGATTTTTAATAGGTAAATTGGTTTTTTTATGTGTAAGGTAAATCATGGAATCTCAACCAAAATATATAGATTTCAAAAGAAATGTCAATATTTTCTAACCATAATGAAATAAACAAAAATGGATGTCTGGATTGGTATTATATATATATATATATATATATTTGGTTGTATATGATTACAATTATAATAAACTTTCTAAAATATTAAAAAATTGTAAACTTCAAATTTCCATATCTCTGTAAACATCCTTATTAATCTATACATTTTTATTTGTGTGTGAAAATTTTAATGAAGAATTTAAATAACTTTCATTTTACTTATGTAAATAGGACTAAAATTTTAATTTTCAAGGTTTGTTTGTATCATCTGTCCTTAAATCATATTTCATTGGGGGGAAAACTGGCTCTGGGGGAAATCGCACTCTATGACTAAAACACAGAGTAGGATTTCCCCCCGGAAAATTGACTCTGGTGTGGGATTTCCGTAGGGGAAATCCTACTCTAGAGCCAGTTTTCCTGGGGGAAAATCCTACTCTAGAGCCAGTTTTCCGGGGGGAAAGATTTTACGGGGGAAAGGCTACTCTACAAGACCGGTATGTCCAACAAGTGCTGGTTAAATCGCTAAAATATACGTAGCCTAATAACAATGGGTGACGTCAAAGAAGTTTTTTTAAAGGAATTTAAAAAAATGATCATAACGAAGGTTTCTAAATATAAAAAAAGATTGATTGGTTTATTGTATGTTGTTTAACGTACCACTCGAGAATGTTTAACTCAAAAGGGCCTAAAATTTAGTCCTATCCTCGGCATTTACGGTTTTTAAGCAGTAAGGGTTCTTTATCGTGCCAACGCCTACAGTGACACGCGACGTGGTTGAATCGGTAAAATATACGTAGACAAATAACAATGGGTGACGTCAAAGAAGTTTTTAAAGGAATTTTAAAAAATGATAAGAACGAAATAAATATTTTTCTAAATATTAAAAAGATTGACTAATTGATTGTATATCGTGGAACATCCCTCTCGAGAAATGTCACTTATATGGAGACGTCACCGTATGGCGGTGAAGGCTTCAAGTTTAAACCTATACTCGGAACTCACGGCCATAAAGATGGGAGAATTCTTTATCGTGCCAACACCTACAGTGACACAGGAACTACGTTCTTAAGGTCATATCCAGAAGACCCGTGACTTTCACTTCTGATGCCGAGTGCTTAGGAAAGGTTTAGTCTTATTTTTGACGCGGGGCCTCTCTATCAAAAAGCATATTAAAAAGGAAGGGATTCATACGGAGGCGTGAAGGTCTAAATGTACACTTGCTGAGATATATTTTTGTACATTTTTTTTCCGTTTTAGGTCATATGGACTATTGCTATATTATTTCTTCTCTCGTCACGCGTTGTGCGTCGTGCGTTAACATTTGAACATTTTCAGCTTCTTCTCTGCATCCGTTCAACCAATTCAACCAAAGGAGACAACAATTGTGAATTATTTTTGGTCCCAACCCCCCCCCCCCTGGAGCCCGAGGGGTTGGACCACACCACTAAAAAATACAATCTTTAAAAATCTTTTTTACTCCTGGACATCAGGCAGTCAAAATGTTGGCTTTATTGTAATCATCATTGTGTTCTCTTCCAAAATTGTGAAAATTATGACCACAAGGTCAGGAGTTCTAGTGTCAGGGGCGTGGCTAAATAGGTTACCTGTATAAAGTGAAATTGTATTATTTCTCTGAAAATCTTCTTCTCTGCTCCTGAGTATAAATAAACTAACCAACTAAATAATTATATTGAATATGGCTGCCTCTTCCAAAATTGTGAATTTTATGGCCTCAGAGTCATGGGTTCATGAGTTTGGGCGGACTCTAATGATTATACAAATGTACAGTGAAAATGCATAAATTCTTTAAAAATATTCTTTTCTGCTCTTGGGTATTAAACCAATGAAAAATGTACATCGATATGATAAGCAAGAATATCTCTTTCAAAATTGTGAATTTCATAGCCCTAAGATTAGGGGTTCTTTTTTTTAGGTAGGGAATTTATTGCCTTTACAGTGAACATACGTAAATTCTCTGAAAATGTTCTCTGCATCTGGGTATTAAACACACTAACTAGGTACATAGTATGGAGAACAGAAATGCCTCTTCCAAAATTGTGAATTTTATGGCCCAAGGGTCAGGGATTTATGTGTTAGGGCAGGGCTCTATTGATTATATAGTGAAAATGCATAAATTCTGTAAAAATCTTCTTCCCTGCCTCTGGGCACTAAACGCACTAAATAAGTACATAGTTACAATGAACAAGAATGCCTTTTCCGAAATTGTGAATTTCATGGCCCCTGGGTCAGGTATATTTTGGTGTTGGGGCCGGCTCTATTGATATTATAGTGAAAAAAGTTAATTTTTAGAAAATCTTCCCTCCTGGGTATGAAATAAACTAACCAAGTACATTGTTATGTTAAATAAGATTTCATCTGCCAAAAATGTGAATTTCATGCATAAAATAATGGATAAGATCCTCCATAAAATGGCTTTCTCTTCAATATCAATTCTTTTGATCAAGTACTAGGAAATAAAGTTAAAATTTGTGTATATTATATATGATGGCTTCTTGAAAAGTAAGTAAAATTTACGGTTTTCATTCATTGATGGATAATAAAATGTTTAAGAAAACGGTTACTGTAAGATATCTTAATTAATCAATGATATCTAGCATTGAATACGAAACCAAAGAAACTGATTTCACATTATTGGACGACAAACAAATTAAAATTAAAATCAAAAAAAGAAGAAGAAAAACAACTTGAAATTTTGGAAACTCAATGCTATGAACACGTCGACTTACCTGCTTTAAAAGGAATGTAAGCGTAACATTTCAATTATATACAGTGGAGCCTCGATTATCCGGACGCTTTTGGTTCCTAGTCAATTTGTCCGGAGATGTGAAGCGTCTGGATTCCTGAATTACCAGTTAAAAAAGGGATACCTGAATTACCAGTTAAAAGAGATATGATAAAGTTTAAAAAATTCCGTTTCGATGATAAATCGACGGGATACTGAACATCCGGATATCTGGGGTGCGGACGGTGGCACAGAGAATGTCAAATAAATGTCTAATAATTTTTTTTCTTCTAAATGTATCATTAAAACAAAACTTTTGCTTTATAGCATCTATTTCCTTTACGAATTCATTAAAAGAGAACCCTTAAAGTTCGTATAATCGACGTGTTAAATCAATAGATGATTGTATCTCTTAAATGAAAAAAGAAAGATGTACATTATGTTCGACAAGAGGAGACTGATAAAATCGTGTATGCGTTCGCAACTGTATATCTGACGATGCACAATTTTATTATACAAACTACTAGAAATCATCTTTTAAACCCTTTTACAAAAGATACATGTAAGAAGAAAGAATTTTGCTTAAACTTTAAAACAAAATATGCTTAATATGCTTTCGTTAGAAATAAGAGACCCAAATAGTACTTTATTTATTCGATTTATTATATGAAATAAATAAGTGACATAAAGGTAATGACCCTAGTGCAAAACAATTTTATATCCATGTTGATTCTTTCGAAAAAATGAATCGGTAAATTAAACAGATTACGTATGTCCTATAGAGGACCTTCACGGTTTCTAATGAAAATATACTGACATAATAATGATTGATCGATGTTAAATGGCTCTTACTTATATTAAAAAGGTAAATTTATAAACCTCTTGACCGATTGAAATATGCAGCATTGTTAAGGCTTGAAAATGGGGTAAGGGCCTAATTTATACGGGAAAAGTTTACTATGACGTCACACAAAAATATGACTTTGATGTATTTCTCATAATACCTGAAAATGAAATAATTTGCAACTTTTAACTGTATTAGCATAATAAACAACAATAAAACTTATCAATGCATTAAAAAGCTTGCAAGTTAAATCCCATATAGCTGATTATAAACAAAGCACTGATCGTGATGAACTTGTAAACATGACGTAATTTTGGTAAAAATAACGTATTTCTTGTGCTGTGAGAGGCAGGTTGAGTAATTTTTTTTAACAATGAAAAGTGCGGTTTATTATTAAACGGAATAATATTTACGGGTTTTAAATAGTCCATTAATACCAATGTATTTCCTTTGCTTAGTTCGATTATTCACTAACTATATTAAGAGAATGTATTTTATTAATTATGTCTTGTTTTATGTACAGGTTGCGTATATTTTACAATGAGATGGCTCATAAAATCGTACTTTGGCAAGGGCATACACTGAATAGATCTTAACCATTTTTGAATATAGATAAAGGATATTTTCCTTGACTTGAAAAGTGCTGCTGCTTTCTTTAAATAATTTTTTAAGTACACAACATAAACATATTTCGACATTGGCTTATTTACCTGAAAATTAACTATTAAAATGCAAATTCTTTTTAAAGCAGTAGCACTTTTCAGAAACTACAAAGTATGCAGAAACAATAAGTAACTTGAATTTTTAATTACAACTAGGGCATGCCTTTGCGATATTGAAATTTGTTCATGACCTACATTCAGTACACGAACTATGCATTCATCACGTGAATATCCATCGATGGGACCACACTTCATA